TATGAAAACAAGATAAAGAACGATCAATTAGCTATTAAAAATATCGATATAAGATTTCAATAAGGCTACCATCACGCACAAGTTTAAATAATGGTATGCTTTGAATTTACAAGTAAACCTCTTAGCTCCTTCCATTAGCATGTACACTTCTGGTTACGCCCTACACACTCTTTACCCCTTTGCTTAGTTATTTTAGCACTATTCTTTTAAATCTTACGATAGAAATATTCCTAGACTTGCCCCAAGTTGACCTCTCTTGTTTTCTCGGCGTTTTTTTAATTCGAGCGCAGCGAGCGAGCGACGAAGTCGCGAGAGGTCGACTTGTCAAACCTGCAGGATATTCAATTGCGTTTCCCGCCATTTCCGAATTTGATACGGGAGTGTCGGCTTTCGGGGACGGAGCTAAAGAATTGTGGTTTTCATTTAGCAAAACATGGTTTATCAATAATGAATGGTTGATGCTATAACTCCAACTAAAACTGTTGAAAGGATAGCGATATCTCCAGCGTCCAAACAAAAAATATGCTTTCTTTACGCCAGTCAAGTTTCTACCAATGACTATATACGGAAATTGTTTAGTCGTCTCCAACATAGGAAGCAGAGATCCCCTTCGATTTTAAAGACGTTACTTGGTCTTTCATTAAAGAGACCAAAGGGACAACAACAACAGTCTCGATGAAGTTTTTCTCACCAAACCTCATGCGCTTAGTAAAAAAAAAAACCAAAGCGGGCGGCGGACTTTGCGAAAGTCTAAAATATTCCTCGTAGACCTTTCTATACATTTACGATATATTCACATATTAACTTTAGTTTAAGGTGGAACCAAACTAATTCAGAGCGATTTTTGGATAATTTTATTCTCGCTCCCTTCGCACAACTAGTGCGTCAATTTAATTGTATTTTTCATATAATATGCTTGGATTATCCTAGATTCTAACAGTGTATTTTATTTCAAGATCCTTTAAATGTTTAGCCTATTACGGCCGAAAATCAAACAGTGCTATCTTTAGTTTTTGGCTTTTTTCTCCCCATCCTCAGGTACGATTTTCTGAAATTTTCAGAATCTTATCGTCTAGTACTATTGCAGCCTGTGTATAATTTGAATGGAAAGTCTTGGGCAGAAAAAATGTTATGACGCCGCTTGAAAATTCGACCCAAAATTTGAAGCATATGAAACATTACCATTAGATGGATTGTCTTGAAGTTTTCATATACCTATTTCCAAGTATTGCGGATGAGCCTAACGAAAACTTAGCATCAAATCTTAAAAACTCATTGAATAAATGTTTTTTTACTAATTGTGGTTGTAAACCTCGAAAATGAGAGTTTCGCTAAAAATCACATTTTCGCCGTTTTCTTCAAAACGGCTCCAATTTTTTCTTTAAACTTCCTACATCAACAGACCAGAGCTTAGCGCTAACCATGTGTCCCAAAAAGTATAAAATAACATTAATTAGGAAATTCCACTATTGCCTAGCCTATTTTACGTGCTTTCCTGCTACAACATGTTTGTATGTTTTGTAATTTCCTGTTAATAGTCCATATAAACTGTTGTAATAATACTCATTCGTAAACTCCCTGAAGAAGTCTGTTGATTATAGACGAAGCGCGTCGGAGTAATAAAAAAGTTTACAAAACCTAAGGAAAGATCAGTTGTTCATTTGTGCTGCTCACCTGTACACTTTATGTAAAAAAAAATTGTAAAAACATAAAAAAAATTTAAAAAATCGCCCAGTCTCCTCGCCTAGAAATTCGAAAGCTTTTGGGGAGGGGAGGGGAGGTCTTTGTGCTAAGTCGTAAGTCGCAAGTTGAAAGTGCTAGGTGCTAAGTCCAAAGTGGTAAGTCCTAAGTTCTTACTTGGCAAGTTGCAAGTTGTGTTGTCAGTCGGTTATCGATCACTTCAGTTGCGAGTTTCGACTAACGACTTACGATGTCTTCCCTCGGCCACGGTACTGATAAGTCAATACTGATAGTTTGCAGTTAAACGTTTGAAATTCGGAGTCAGAATCCTTAGACATGTTTAAGAAACCCCTTTGATTGACGTCCACCAAAACTCAATTTTTCGTTTGTGATTTTGGTCTCACTTGGTCGCGTGTGACTGGGAATCGCAGTAACAAGCATGGTCGAGAAACTGAATTTGAACTAATCAGGACTCGGAACAAATACAGTCTCAGGCTAGTGGCACCACCGTATTGCGATACCGACACTATGACCACTCGACCATGCTGCCTCCTTTGCGAAGGGAGCGAGAATAAAATTGCCAAAAATTCGCTCTGAATTAGTTTGGTTCCACCTTAAGCTGCTCTTTGCAGCTATTGTAATTATTCTTCTGGTCATTATATTGATTTGCTCTCAGCCTCGGATTGTAGTCGAATTACTACATCTCTACCTCGTCGCTTGCTTCACTTTGGTTTTAAATTTCAAAATACGGAGAGGGAGAAATGACTGAGTATAGCCAGGAACAGCTTTTTATTTAGGCTACAAGTTCGTATCTTGAGTAGTACCTCAACATTCCAGTAACATCAACCTGATGACCAAAGGCAATCGCAGCAAGGAGCTGTTCGTCTGTTTGTGGATGATAGAAAAGAAAGCTTGGAATTTGTGTGGCATTTAAACCAAGGTCTCTAGCCATAACACCAAAATATGCATCATCTGTGTAGAACGGTTTCCTGATGAACTGAGTATAGTGGAAGTAACTAGGAAGCATGTCGGTGGAGACCACTTGAAATGATCCCTTTAAAAATGGAGGAAAATGTGTTTCGTTATAAACTTCTTTGGGAAGATACCACTTCATTTTTGGATTGCGAACAACTTCCAATGATTGTTGCAAATATCCTCCATAAAACCTCGTTGGTAAATTAGCTGGACCTACCAACCATTCCACCAGCCTTGGAACTCGAATATACACGTCATCGTCGGCCTTGAGAATATATTGACAATTCAATCTGAAGTACGCCCAGTAATGAGACATAAAAGTCTTAATCACCACGTTCTTGTAGGTGTCTAAGAAGTTACCAATGAGTATATCGTTGTACTTCAGTGATTCCCATCGGTTTTTAAGGTAAACGGCGGTATGTTTGTTGATTCCCAAAGCGAAAAACACTCTCCATCTAGGTTGTATTTCAGTAGAACCTCCCCAAGTCATTCTGATAGCCATTCGTCGAAGCTGATGTTGCTCATCAGATGCCGAGTTCACAATAACAGCAATAAAAAGCTTTCTGTCTTCACATGAAATATTTGGTTCAACGTKTGGCATAATGAGGGGAAACTTGGTTGGTCCATTTGCCGAAGTTCCATCAAATTGTCGCATGTACGGGCACTTTTTAGAATTGCTTATACAATTCCTAACTGGATCTTGCAACAAGGATGAAATGTTACGAGACATGCTTAAGTAGAAGGCGAAAACACCAATGAGGAGCAAAACGACTAGTATACAGATAGGTTTTTTCGCTCGTCTTGTTTTGAACAGCCAACGGCTGTACCAACTTCTGAAAATATAGTAAGATGTCATAGCTGATCTACGGACCCTCTTCAGTGGCGCTCTAATAAATCAAGCAAAGGATACGCTTGAAGTTTCTTATCGAATATTGTCAAAGCTCGCTGAATACAGTAATATTGCTCAAGTTTTTTTCAGTAAAACTGACTTTATTGGTTTACAGTTTTGGTTTCAGTTGGGGTGACTTCAAGTATTGAGTAACAGATATATCGTAACTGATATTTCACACAAATGCGAGATTGAAACAAATATAATACTAAAAAAGGGGAAAACATGGTCGAGTTGGTCATAGCGTCGGTCTCGCAATCCGGTGGTGCTGGGTTCGAGTCCAGTTCGAGACAATGCTTGTTAATATCCAACTGGTTTGCCTCCTTGCCAGTTGGGATTCTTTCAAGTGTTTTAAAAAACACTTTGTTTCTTTGATTATTTCTTTATTTCAGTTTATTAATTTGTGGACTACACTGTAAACTAGTATTTAGCTAAGTGTACTCATTATAAAAACAGAAGCAAATTTTTTATGCATTAAGTTTATTCATTATTTGCATATCGGAGTGAAAGTGCACCGAGGTGAATCCGTCTGTTCACGTTTATTTAAGGAGTGAGCAATAGTGCGTTTTCACGTGACGTCACAGCAGCCATTATGGGTACTAAAACAATACATTTTCCGGTAATCGAACTCTATTTTTATGCAAATACTGTGCAGAAAGTTTCTATCGTTTATGGCTGCCTTCTCACGTTAGCGAAAACGCTCTATATGGCTGCTCTGTTGAGTCTACGATAAACAAATGTTTTTCGTTGCACTTATATGCTTCTAGGTCAATTTTATATTAACACGAATTTAGAAGGAAAAAGTATAACGCAAGCGTGAGGTATCCAAGGTTGAAGGTTATCTGAAGACGTTCGAATAACCTCTGGAAAAAAATCAGCCAATTAATATTCTAGAAAACATGACGGTCACGTCACGGCACGCTTACGGCACTGAACTTTTTACAATCATGAAAGCCGATCCACTTATGCGGAACTGAGTGGATTCAACATCCATTAGCCTGCATGACATCCAGACTTTTTTGTCGGTTAACGACAAAAATGTCCGGATGTGACGCAGGCTAAAATCCATGGATCCGGAACAGATACTGATGATCCGGAACAGATCCGGATGCAGAACCGGCATATTATATCTATTAATGAGCCTCGGGTATTCAAGCGTACCCTTTGCGTGATTTATTATGAACTCGTAGAGGTGTCGAATGTAAAAGTACAAACTTCGGGGAAAGGAACCCTGAACAGCTATGACGTTTCACTATTCTCGCCGAAGCTGGTGTAGAATGTGGTTCTCCCAACCCCCGCGTGCTTTAGGACTGCACACAACACGCTAGTCTCCTACGCTATTATTGTGGTCACAACCTGAGTGAGCGTGGCATGGCGACACTAATAGCGGCTGCGTCAATCTCGTACCCAGAGCCTGCGTTTCTTCTGGCCTGCAGCGAAAAACGACGGGTTCTGGCATAATCCATGTTTTGAGACCAGGATTTCTTGGACTTCCGGTTCAAGAACGCATGCGTTCAAAGACTTGCCAAAAATTAAAAATATTTTCCCGATTTCTAATTTTTCCTATGATCTTTACTTTGATTATTTTCATCGGTTATATCTCTTTTTCGAAAATTGCGCATGCGCCAAAAATATGGATTATGCCAGAGCCCAGAGCCCTCGTTCTTCGCTGCAGGCCAGAAGAAACGCAGGCTCTGGGTACGAGATTGAGAACAGCTAGTGAGCACTGACAGCACGCACGCGCGTTTTTTATTTATTTAATAAAGGTTCAGGCAAAGAGAAATACACTGTAAAAGATCAGAATAACGAGATGCGTTAGGTAAAAGACATTTAATGTGAAATTTCAAGCAGAGGATTCTTCAAAGGATTGCACGACAAGAATGCGAAAAGGTTGACAGAACTAAGACTAAAATGTATTAAGATCTAGAATTAATACTTGTTAACACAGGAAAAAATAACGAGTCCTGAATAATCCATGAAAAAAAAACAATATGAATCATAAATGAAGGTGCGAATGAGCTTTGGAGTTGAGTTTTTTTTAACTTATCTTATAGTAAATATTTCAAACAACTTACGTTTTGTCTGGTACTATTCAAGTTCAGAATAATTTGTTAACTTAAGAATTTTAGTGTTTAAATTCGGTCATTAGTATTACTACTATAGGGTCTTAATCTCCGTTCACTCTTTGACAACCTTTTATACTGTCAGCTTTATACATTATTTATAGGTTAGGGAGTCCAAGTTTTCTTTCCATCATACTATGAATGTCACCAGCCACTTCTGCATCACCTGGGGCTGGGGAAATAAATAAATAAATAAATAAATAAATAGATAGATAGATAAATAAACAAATAAATAAATAATGATATAAAGATTCAAGAGAAGAAAAAAATTGAATATATCTTTAAAGTGCTACTACGACGAAAATCGCTCAAACTTGGATTCAGCTGAAACTTCCTAAGAATAATCTTTAAAGGTCCAATAATCACTGTATGAAGTGTTTTCTCGATATTCWGGACGAAAGTATGATATTTTTACGATTATTTTTTGGAGTCTGTGACGTCATACACTCAACATCGAACATCGCTCCATACATTTCTTTGTAGTTTATGATCAAAATATCAGTAGTAAAGGGAGAAAGAAATACCCAAACACCCCAAAATATAAATTATTTTCACAAGTAATGTGAAATAAGCACATTAGCCACCCTTTGGGCTTCATAGGAATAAAATAAATTAAGGATTTACATACAAAGAAATATATGTAACAATGTTTGATGTTGAGTGTATGACGTCACAGACTCCAAAAAATAATCGTAAAAATATCATACTTTCGTACTGAATATCGAGAAAACACTTCATACAGTGATTATTGGACCTTTAARGAGTATTYTTAGGAAGTTTCRGCTGAATCCARGTTTGAGCGATTTTCGTCGTAGTAGCACTTTAAAAAATGGCACTTTTGTATCACCTGGGGCTGAGGAAAGTAAAAAAATAAAAAACAAAATATTTTTATAAAATTTTTTTATAAAAAATATATTAATATTATGAAAATTCAAGCAAAGAAAAAAATATGAATAAATTTTTAGGAGATATTTTTGGACTAGCTTTCATATCTATTTTTATCAAAAGATAAAAATAGATTTTTATTCTTTATTTTTTATCTTGTTTTTAGGAAAATAGATTGTTTACATTAAATCAAATTCATTTGTTCTTATGCTTTAATTCAAAATTTATGCTTTATCTTATTTATCTGATCTTTCTTTCATTCATTTTTTATTCATTTATTCATTCATTAATCCACTAATCCACTTGAAGATTTTATTATATGATCATTAAAATTGTAAATTGTAGAGGAATTGATATTCTAAATATTCAGCTATAATAATTTATTTTTAACCTTTCAATATTGATAACTCTAAGATAGATAAGGCTAACAAACCTTCCCATAAAACATTATTACAGAAACCAGAAATAATCAACAAGGAATGTACGGGAAAGATAAAGGTGGGTTTCGATAAATGTATAAAGAGAATAAGTATGACCTACCTCCCAGTACATCTTCAAATCCTATAGTTTCATCTGTCCCAAGGAGTGTATCTAAAGCTATCATGGAGCTTGGAAGACCAGGAAGTCTTTGGATCTGAGAATTTCAATAAACAATTTCCTTTAGAAAATGAGAGCAGAAAATGAGAGCAGAAAAAGAGCACGAAAAGAGCAGAAAAAGAGCAGAAATAGCAAGAACTTATTAGTACTGTAAGTATTAATTCAGCATAATGACTCTGATGCAATGCTATTTTAATATAACCAGGGTTTTCATTAAGTGTTTGGGATGGGAGAATGCTTTGGTAACTTGAACAACGATCTTCTCTTCCCCTCCCCCCCGTTTTTAGGGTGGTCCACAGACCTTGGATTAACCAGTGAACCAATGAATAGAAGAGGATCAGCCTTACCTTAGAAGCAACAGCATATTCCATCTGTAGTTTAAGAGGAGCATGAAGCCCTTGGGTATTTCTCAGCATTCTCATGTCTAGTGCTTGTTGGTTTTTGGTATACTAAAGGTTCAATAAAAATTAAAATCTTAATAAAGTTGAGATCAAAAAATCACCAACTCAAGAACTTGTAGAGCAGTCTTTAAATGCATTTCTTCATATTCTGCAAACTCTGTTATTTCAACCGCTTGTTTTGCTGCTGCTAGTCAAAAATATAAAAGCTACAGTCTGATTAATTTTAATTGACAGCATCAAAAATCTGAATTTCAGAGTGCTGCTCACAACTGCAAAGTTTGCAGAATATTGAGAATCACAGTAAACTGCATTAAAAATAATAAGCTTATACAAAAGTGCCAAAATGCTAAATTGATATAGTACGATAAACTTTTGAGATTCAACCAAGATTATTTGCTCAAAATTGGAACCTTGCTTCATGTTGCACTGTATAGAGTCAGTCTCCTCCCCCCTGACAAAAGAGTGAAATTTCAAAGACAAGCATTTTCTGTTTGTTTTTTTTAGTGGCTCAGAAGTAGTGCTATTTACATTGCTTACCAATCAAATGTGAAATTTTACCATTTATCATTTATCAAAGTTTTCAAGGGAACATGCTTATGGAATGATATGGAATTGCCTTGTTTGATATCCACCAAAACCTGCTTCTATAGAGGCTTTGCATCATTATGTGATGGTCCCTATAATACAGCTTGGACTGCCTGTGGTTAGATGGCAGAACAATAAAATCCCTTTGCCCTTGGGAATTGAATTCTTTCTCACGTAACATGATTGTATTGTTCCAGCCATCTAACTTGGTTGCTGTCATGTGACGGTGCAAAGCTTATATTATGATGACGTTTTTCGCATGCGCATGTGTAGGGAAACATTTGTAGGGTAACACTAGTGTAAGTTTATCATTTCATCGCTGTGAAAATCATTCCTGTTATTAACAAAAACATACATTTATTTCAGAGAATTCCAGTGGATGAGATGCCGCGAGTTGATCTTTGGCACCTAAGGGTCTAAAAGAAGAAAATAAAAAAATTGTGAATAAAAAAAACAACAATAATTGATACATGTCTTTGCATCATCATGACATTGTATCATCACCATGTATCATCA